ACAAGATATTATTAGCATTCATAAGGGATAAGTTTACTGATTAGTATTATATTATTAATTTTAAAAAGGAAGTAAGTAGGTAAGGTTTTAGTTAGTTTTTAAAATCTAATAAATACTTTTGACTAGAAATTATTAGATAAGGGGGAGTTAACTCCCCCCTTTTTTACAACTTTGACTCAGATTTAGGTGGAACTTGAATTTGGGCTACTTGTTCTGCCTTAACTTCTCACCGGTTATTTTTATCATTTCATTCTTCTCTGGTTCATCCATCACTTTCAATCAACTCAGAGTCTATCCTTTTTTCAAAATCAGGAGCAATTGCTCTATTTTTATTATGATAAACATAAATCTTATATTTATTTCTATCTTCATCTTTCAAATTATCTTCACCCTTTTGCTTAATTTCTATTTGGGTTCAACGTCTTACTTTCACTTCACTATCTTCTGTTTGTCTTCAATTAGTTTCTGGACTACCATTTTTTGCCATAGAATCATTAATTCACCGCATTACTTTTTGCCAAACTTTGTTCCATTCTTGTTTTGCTTCCTCTTGATTATTAGCTTGAAACATTTTTTTCCTTCTTACTTTATCCTCTAATTTTTCTCCTTTAGCAATTCCATTAGCGAAGTAAATATACCTTGCTATTTCATTATTTACATTTGAGGAAGGCTCTATCTGAGAAAAGTCATTAAGTTTTTCTAGTTCACTGGAATTATTTGTTTGTAGCCATTTTTTCATGAATTCCAAGGTTGAACCCTTATCATCCAAAAAAGTTTCTCAAAAAGTTTTATTATGATTTTGTTCTTTCAAAAGTTTTCCTTTTTCCTCTTTCAACATAATATCAGCATGTGCTAATTCATGAGCTAAAGTATAGAAAAAATTTACTTCTCTTTCATCTAAACGGATGTGCATCTGAAATCCAGAGTGGTCGAACAAACTTCTTCAGCCAGTAGAACCCCAAGTAGTAGTTCCCACAAATACACCTTTTCCTTCTTTACCTGGATATAAGTCAATCGGCAATTTGTCTAACCGTTGTTTAGAAAATTCATCAACTATTGCCTTGAAAGTTGGATAGTAAAAAGAATAATAATGAAGTTTTTCCGTTTTATTAAAACCCGCTTCTAATCATTTTTTATTTTCTTCATTTTGTTCTTTCTTCCCAAACTCCGCATCAACTCATTTTTTATTGTCTTGAATAAGATCTTTCTGTTCAGTGTAACCTAAACCATCTCACCTTTGTTTTTCGTTTTGAATAATTTTTATTACTTCATCACTATTGTTGACCCCCAAAAAGAACTCTCCTTTATCGCTGACTATAGTTTTAAGTGGAATCTCTGTCTCTTCCCCAAGTTTACTGATAAGATAATAAAACGCATCATTGTCTCAGTGAACACGAACATGACCTGAGTAACTATAAGTTTGAGGCAAAAATTTAATTAATTTTAGAACCTCACGATTGTCACTACTACCTCTTACCTCTAAATGTTTAAACCCTCTTTCATCTTCATTAGATTTAGGAATGATAAGTTTTACTTCCTTAATAGTCATTTTTAATTGTGTATCTTCTTCTATTTCTCCATTATCTCCGAATTTTAATGATTTGGCTAAAGCTACTAGTTCGTTTATGTTAATTATTTTTGGCATATTTTTATTAAATTTTGTTATTTTTGTTTAAAATTCCAATCACTAAACCGCTTTTAAGCAAATATATCTAACTAGGAGTGATTGATTTTAAAGTTATACTAGTTAGATATTTGGTTTTCGTCTCCATAGGCATTTAATATTTGTTTTGTATTTGGTTAAAAATTATGATTATCTAATTGTCGATTAACTCTTTATCTTTCTCTTCTGGTGATTTCTCGCCAGAATTAAGACTAAAAGTAAAGTAAAGACAATAAATACTCCACCACCAACAATTAAAGCAGTTTTATCAGACTTATTCTTGCTTACTGAATTATTAGAACTATCCTGTTTTTTTAATAATTCCGCTAATCTTTTCTTTTTAGCCTCTAATTCTGATTGCTGAGCAGGGGTTTTATTAGAGTTTTGTTCTAACTGGGTGATTTGCGAGCGTAATTGTTGCTGTTCAGTTGTGTTTTGCTCTCTCTCTCTCTCTCTCTCTCTCTCTCTATGCTCCTACTATTAATATCATTTTCTACATTCTTATAATTCTCCCTAATTTCCTCCTGACTAGAACATTTCCTTAAAAAAATCTTAGAATAAGCAGGATTAGTGCGGATATCAATATCAGAAAGTCTATTCAGTCCTTTTTCTTCTATATCAGCATTAATATCTTCCACTAAGTCTGATTGTAGTCTTTGTAAAAATTGATAAGAACTATCATCATTACAATTTTCGCAAAACCAATAATAGGGATTACCCTCTTCACAAGCTATGCTAGGATGTAAGCAAGAAGGAGAACGAGGTTTAACTTTGTTTAGTTTTTCTTTGGTTTTTTTTGTTTTTTTCTTCTTAGGACTTGTTTTATTTGGAAAACTATTTGTTATGTCTTTTAGCTCCTGAGAGTTATTGTCTAATTTTTGGTGAGTTTCTTCTTGTTCACTTTTAATTTCTTCTTCTTGTGATTTCTTATATTCGTTTAGACAACTTTCTGAACAAAAAATTTTCTGGTTTTTACTTATTAGTTCTTTACCACCTCTCCCTATTACTTTATTATATCAATATTGACCTGATTTAATTTGTTTGCATTGCTCGCAAGTATATTCATTTATCTTTTCATTTCATTTAGTAAAACAAAATTCTTGATTACAGAAGACAGTTAGGTATCCATGGTCATTACTATGAATATAAGGATTAGTTAAGCATTTTTTTTGACAAAGACTATAAGCACAGGTAACAGATTTTACTTTTTTTAAGGCTTCATGTTTGAGACTATAAAGTTCATTTACTACTATATTGTAATCTTGAGTACCATTTATACTTAAACTATATTTACCAATAAGTCCGTTAACAGCATTGGAATAATAAGAATGTTCATTATAAGCAGAATCTGCTTTTTTTTGCTGCTCGTAAGGGTCAGTTATTTTTTTTATTTCTGCCAGTTCTCTTTGTGCTTTGGGAAAGTATTCACTAAGGAGATGAAGAACCTGCTGCTTAAACTGATTTTTGTCCATGATACTATATTATAGTTTTACAAAAACCAGCTGCTGTGCAGTCTATTTATCTCTATCTTCCTTTATAAAAGCAAAATAAATTACTAAAAAAATGATAGCTCCAATTATTAACTTAGTCTGTTGATCCATGCTTTCCAAATTAACTAATCCTCCTTTTTTGTTATTTGCTCCTGGAACACTTTTTAATAAGTCATCTATTTTTTTGTCATAATCACTTACTTTTTTACTGTGATCATCTAACTGACTTTGGATAATTGGAATCATTCTTTTAGCAGTATCCTTTTCTTCGGATGTAGCACTAGGGTCATTTAGTTTGGCCTTATGTCTTTGTAATTCTTTGATTAAATCTTCAGCTTCTTGCACTGCTTTGTTTCTGTCATTTTGCAGATTATTTACTTGGTCAGTGATTGCTTGACCGGCTTTACCAGCTAAAGTTAACTTTTTATCTTCTTGCTCTTTTTGTTTGCGATCAGCATCCATTGCAGAGCCTACTAAGTAAGCACCGCCAATCGCTGCCGCTTGAATGACTAGCGAAGCACCGCCCGTAACAATACCTGCGGCAACCGTAGCAACGATAGTAGTTGTGTTTTCTTTGATTCAGTTTCAGAGTGACATATTATTTATTAGTTAGTTGTTTTTTGATTTGGTTAAGTTGCTTAGTTAATTCTGCTAATTTATTATGGTAGGTTGCAATATTTTCAGTTCAAAGGGTAAGGGTAGATTTGATTTCTTTGATTTTAGTTTCTATTTGGTTTATTTTTGCTTGATTGGTCATATTATCTTTCTACTTTTGCTCTTATTTCTGCAACACGTTGAAATAAAGTGTTAATATTGTTCTGCATCATAGTTATCTGTCCACTATTAGCCGATAATTGTATTTGCTGTTTCAAGTCTTCTATTTCTTGGCATAAGCTTTCTAAACTCGTGCTTAGATTATTAGATGAGTACTCTAAAATATTAACTATTTCTGGTAAACTAGCATCTAGCACATCTTCAGTCTTTACTTGTTTTAATGACTTAAAAGTTCCTTGATAATTTTCTAAGTTACCACTATCTCATTGGTCTCAAAAGTATTCTAATAATTCTCCAATTTCAACTTCACGTTCCTCAGTTTCAGTTGTCTTATTACCATTTTCATCCTCTGTTTCAATTTCTTCTTTGTAAATAGCATTAGGATTATTAGTAATAAATTTCCTCCAAAACCTAGATTTGTTTGGCTGTTTTGGGTCATCACCAATAAAGTCCTTGTAGAAAACGGGAATATTAAATTTCTTTACTCATTTATCTTCTTCACTAGTCAAAGTAACATTTTTGCCCTCTTTGTCTTTTTTTCAACGTTCAGGTATTTGATAGTAAATTCCTGCTTTTTCGGCATGCTTCAAAAATTCTTTTCAAGTTCAACTAAAATTTAAAGGATTAGCTAATCTTCCAGCTTGATAAACAGCTTCTTCAATTTGGTTTAAATGATTAGTAGCCATGATTCATAAATTGCTGGTTTCTCCTTTACGACTGGATTTGTTTCCTTCAATACATTCTTTAATAAATCGTAAATGATTGGGCTCAAAGGAAAAAGAGTTATTACTTATTTGATTACACTCATCAACAAATAGAATATAACGCACCTCTCCATTATCCTCTCTTTCAAAGCCATAAGTTTTCTCTAAGGTTCATTCTAATTCGCTGATAGTGTAGTAAAATTTTTCATCAACTTTTAGTTTTGACTTTATGCGAGGAGTTAGAGATGAACCTTTGATTTCTACTAATGGATACTTATTAGCTTCAAAGCAAAGGTTTTTTACGGTCGCTGACTTACCGGTTCTTGGTGCTCCGTAAAAGAGAGCATTATTTTCTCCCGTTTCTTTGTCCCCTCGTACTGGATCAACAACTACACTTTTACACCAAGCTAGAATTTTGTCAGATAAAATTAATTCTTCTTTTCCTTTAAGCATTGTGCAATTAGTTTCTCCGTTTTTTCTTCCTTCTTCATAATGCTCCTTTAAAGAAGGTGGAAAATAAATTTCATAACAAGCAGTTCGAGAGAAGCGGAAATTAGGATGCTTATCTCCATCAGGAAATAGGTTAACTTCTTCTTGATAGTCAGAAAGCAACGCACTAGCAATGCTCTTTATTTTTTTATCTGCTCAGCTCTTAATAGGTAGCTCTCAAATCTTTCCTTTTCCATAATTTTCTTCTTCCATTCTTTCTGGAGTTAACTGATTCTCCTGCAACCACTTAATAGCACCATCTAAATCTGACTGTTTATTTTTTAACGCTAATCTTTGAATTTCAGTGCCATTTTTTCATAATAGATAACCTTGGAGAATAGTTAATGATGTAGTTATATTATCGTAATCATCTTGTTTTAATTTCTTTACTTTCTCTAAATCCGTTTGAATTTTACTTTCTAGTAGTTTCCTTTGTTCTTCTGGTAAATAAATCATAAAGTAATAGTAAGCACCGGCAACTAAGAATAAAAGTGCTAATAAACCCTGTTGTTGCTGCTTTTTCTTTTGCTTAGTTTTGATTTCTAACTTCTTCTCATAGTCAAAATCAAAGTATCTATCTACGTTATACATAGTTATTCTTTCAGTCTCTTAAAAAAAGCCATTTGACGAAGTATTTTTTCTTCTACTTGGGCTTCTCTTTTAGCAGATAAATTGGGTTCAGATTTGGTTAGTTGGTAAATAGTGAAGAGAAGAAATAGTATAAGAGCAATTATTAATAACCCTCTTTGTCAGGGTTCTAAGTTAGTGTAGTAGGGTGTGAATAACTTTTCTAAATGTTCAGTGCTTTCACCTAAGGTTTTTTTAATATCGGTCATATTCAGAGTCTTTTTGTGAATAGAAATAAAAGATTACCAGCAGAGTTATTCCAGCAAAAATAATTAGTTGCTGTTGGTTAGTTGTTTGTTGAGAGTTACTAGAACCAGAACTGCCTCCTCAAGGAGTTCAGGGATTTTTCTTATTATCAGGGTTAGTTACTCCGCCACCAGAACCAGAGCCTGAATCATTGGGATCTGAATTTGGTTCATTGCCTGGTAGATTTACCGGATCAGGATTAATATTACCGCTAACAAGCCTTCCCATGTCATACAAATAACTGTATTGCACCAACTTCGATAAAGGATTACGAGCCAACTTTTGCTTAGCTCTTTTAAGTTCTGTTTCTGCTTCTTGAGCCAATGCCATAAGTTTAGCTTTTTTATTAGGGTCAGTTTCTTTATTAGCTTTAGCAATATTTTCTTGATATTTAGTGTCAGCTTCTTTAATCTCTGCTTCAAGTTGCAATATCTCTCTTTGATGTTTAGGAGTAACGGATTGCAATTGATTTAATTGGGATTGCATTTTTTGTTGCAGACCATTTAAAAACGGTTTTAAAAAACTACCAAAGAAATCATTTCAAATACAACAGACACTAGCTACTGAATAATAACTAGAAGTTTGACACTTATTGATACAGTCTTGTAATTTATTAACGAGTTGCTGTTTACGATTGTTAAATTCTTGTTCATTAACGGCTAGGGTTAGTTCTTGAGCATCATTTTCTATACTTGCAGTGCTGTTAGCAAAATCAGCTAGTGCTTGACAGTCTTCAGTTAGATTATGACTACCGCCTCAATTACATCTACCGCCAGTTCAATATCCTGCATCACCACTTTCTTTGCCAGCTCTTTGAGAACTAGCATGAGCGAAGAATTGATTTTTTATTTGTTCAGCAGTAATAGTATTTCCTGAACCTAGTCCAGTAGTTCTTCCCCCTGAACGCTTGGGTATAGTTTTAAACTTTCTTTTTTTAGTCATAATTTTCTATAATGTTTAATTCTTGTTAAATTATCTTTCTAGGGTGGTTGCTAGTGTGCTTGTGTTGTATTTTCCCATAAGTTTAAATTTCTGAAGCTATTTCTTAAGCGTTGCTGACAACCAAGTTCCTTCTATCGTAAACTGCTCCGGCAACTCAAAGAGTACCAGGGATTAAAAGTAAATGAATACTATTGTCTAAATCAATATGTTTTTGCTTCACTAAATTAGAAAGTAACGGTCAACTTGCTAGTATTAGACTACTAACTTTACTCCAATATTGCACTGCTTGTTTTTGATATTCGCAATAATTAGTCAGCAAAGTGTTAAATTTGGCCTTTTTTATAGAGTTTTTTTAGTTTCTCAATTTCATTATCAGTAATAAGAGTTTTGATTTGTTCTAATTTCTTAGTCAACTCAGTCACTTCTTGGGACCTAATCGCTAATCATCTGGCTTGCTGATAAGCAGTTATTGGGGGTTGGGCTGCCAATCACTCTTTTTGCGAAACAGGAACCTTTTGTAAAGCCGCATTAGAAGCATAGACTTGGCTAAAACCTTGGGCTTGGATTTGCTGGAGTTCCTGAATAGTTTGCATGAGCTTTGGTTTCAGAGTAGTTCACAATTCCATTACTTGTTCTCGTAACATATTAGGCTAATTGTTGACTTAATTCTTTAAACTCTTTCAGTAATTGCTCGAGCGCTTTCTCATTTTCGGTATTTTCTTTTAAAGACAGTTCTAGTTTCTGGTTACTTTCTTGGAGTTTTTGGTTAGTGTCAGTAATGGCTTGGTCTTTGACTTGTAGTTTAGTGGTTATTTTTTCTTTGAGGGTGGTGAATTCCTTTTGCAAGAGTTCTAGTTTATTTTTGAGCATGATTATTTAAGAGATTTATTTAATTGCTGAATGTTTTTAATCAGGTTATCCAAGATGGGTTCTAATTGCGAGTTATTTTCGGTTGGTTTCGGGTGCGGGTAGGTTTTCGTTTGGGTAAATTGGGACTGGGTTAAGGGTTTAGTTGGTTCGCTTTGTTTTTGTTTGGGTCGGTAAACAAAAAAGTAATACAGGAGAGCCAAGATTAGGGCATAAAAAAGCAGGTCATTCATAACGATTATTTCAGTTGGTAATATCTGGGACTGTTCTTACTCAGCAGTCAAATGGCCACTAAGTAAACTAAGGCCATTCACAAGAGCGGAGTATAATCGGTTCAGTGGTTAGCAGTGGTCAGCTTTTGGGGAGTAATTGAAACTGGTTGGTTGGCTAATTCACTTTCCAACTCTTGTTTCTGTTGATAATACTCGCCAAATTCATTAATTTTGCTGAGTCGGAGTTCCAGGATTTGTTGTTCTAGGTTTTTAAGCTGTTCTTTTAGTTCGTTAATATTTTCTTCGGGAGCCTCGACAAAGACTTCTTCTTTTTCTAACTCACTAATTTGCTTCTTTAACGCTTCATTCTCAGTTTGTAAAGTGGTTAGTTCGTTAGTTAAGGAGGGAGCGGGCGGAGCATTAGGAATATCTCCTAAGCTTTTACTTCTTTTTAAATGAGAAGGTTTTACTCCTTCTTTAACCTTGGCTTTTAATTCCGCTTGTAATTGGTCTTTAGTCATGTTTTTCATTCAAAAACTCGGCTTTTAACTCCTTTTTATTTCCCGTATTTAATA